AAGACAAGAAACAACATGATAAAGGTAATATTTGTTGTCAGTATTTATGAACAATTACATGTAATGTCATGTGTACATGCATATTTAAAGATTGTGTTTGCAGTATTGGGAACCGGGAATTGAATTGTATAGCAACCAATATATAGTTAAAGTGAAACACAAATGAGTGTATAAAAGAACAGCATGCGTATCTCAGTGACGTCAGAATGGCAAACTCGCTAGGTTCAAAGAGGACTTTAAATGAAAATTGAAGTAATGAAGAAGAAATGAATACATCATGCATCATAATACATAATACCACTGTCATATTGACAGTTCATCTATAAATAGAAATAATAATGGCCACAATAAGGATTATACACATACATGTAATTAGCAATAAAAATAATAATAACAATAAAAATAACAATAATAAACATTACGACCAACATTACAGGCTCACCCTCCACTGGATAAGCTACCAGCTTATGCATAAGAGGGTCAAGATCAAGATGGCGAGGGCTGGGGTCTGATGACGGGCTTGGAATCAACCCACTTTTTCTTTAATATTTTTCCTACTCTATTTGTGACTTCTACTATTTTTTACTACTATTCTCTTTCTCTGTAACCCACCCTACACTGTATTTCAGATATGTTTGAATAATAATAATAACAATAATAATTCATGTATAATGATCAATACAAAACATATGCACAACAACAATAAATACATAGTAATAATAATAATAACAGATTATTGTACATAAATGTCAAAGCACCATTATCACAGTATAAAATTAATTCACTAGCTTTACTTCCAATTTTACTCTGTACATACTTAATACATTATAACAAACACACACATTCACATAATACAGTCAGTCAGTGACAACTACTAGCTGTGTCTGTATTTGTTTATGCAAGTTGTGTGTGTTTGTATATACACATGATGTGAATATGTGTATTATTATGTACATAATATTTATAACACACCGGCAAGTGCTATATGGCTTTTATAAGGACTGAGCCCGAAGGCGAGGTCCATATAAAAGCCATATAGCATTCTTGTGTATGCTATTATTATAATTATATGCTATAATTATACTGTATGCTATAAGTATGAAATTACTTGTGTACATGCATACTTGTGTATGTAGCATGTACAATGTACATGTAATTTTATACATTATATTCCTGTCCCTACATATGTACACATTACATGTGTGTATGTATGTACATATGTATTGTGTGTGTGTATTTGTTTATTGGTTGTAATGACAACTAGCAAGTTGTGTGTGTTTGTATATACACATGATGTGAATATGTGTATTATTATGTACATACATGTATATAAGTATAATCCTTTGGTTTATATTAGGAGTCAGGGGGAGAGTGAAGTGGTACAGTGACAGGGTATCCCTTAAGTCTCCATCTCCAGTTCAGTGTAATGAAGTGATTAGTAATATTAATAATAATCATAAGGTGATTGAACTTGAAGACTCATCTACTAATAGTACAGTATCTCTACTATCATCAACTAAACTGCATGCACTAAACCTGAGGAGACTTGAGATATGGTCCACTCCATTAACTAATGATTGTATCCAGTACTTGTGTATGCTACTAACTAATAATAAAACAATACAAGAACTAGAAATCAGTTTCCACTCCATTAGTGATAGAGGAGTTACTAATATCTGTCAAGCACTTGAACGCAACTCTACACTTACCTCATTAGATCTTTATTGTAATCCTCTCATCACTTCTACTAGTGGACAGGCTCTTTCTCACCTCCTCCTCAATAACTCATCACTAGTTAAACTGAATCTAATGAAGACTTCATTGTCTACTGAGTCAATACTATTCATCCTCCAGTCAATAATGGATAATAAGAAGGTAAGGAGACTCAGGCTAGACAAGCGACACAAAGAGACTTGTATTAATACTTATCCTAACTATCACCTCATACAAGACAGAGTAGACTGGTTGTAACTAATCACTTTTCATGTGAACTTATTAATAATCTCTTGATACAACAATTATTATACCAAGTCAGTTCATCTTCACCAATAAGCAACCAATCAGAATACACTACTTTACATGATAAAAGGTGGACCAGTGACACATTATATTATCATAAATCTAACACATGAACATCTCTTGATCTCTCATCAATCTCTCTCTCTCTCCTTCTCCAGTATATACTGTACATTCCTTCTCTTACTGACACACACTCATGTCACTGTCTCTCTCTTTGTTGTCATCATTTCTTTCTATTTCCCTCCCCTTTATTTCTATCTCTCCCTCAGTCTTTAATAACTTTTCTCTAGCTGACCTTCCTCCATTTCAGCAAGTCAGTCTTGTTTTCATTCACAATATATTTCTCTCAAAAAGGAGCAGATAAAAAAAAGAAAAAAATGACAAAAAAGCACATTAATAATAATAATATAATTTTTAATAAAAATGTTTATAAAAGAGATGATAAAAATATTTAAATATGTCCGCACAGTTCAACCAGTACACCAGAATCCTGAGAATGACCAGCTGGAGAAAGAGAGAGAGGAAATGACAAATTATACACACACACATACCATATAAGGATGTACAATATTATCAATATATTGATCATCAAGAGGACATATTGTTATACTGATAGTATTAATTATTGTATCAGCAATACTGAATATTAATTATTCACAACACAAAGCATTACTTTACAACAAGAACCCGATTTTATAAAATAACTTGATTATTTATGATTATTACATGCTTTTAAAAGGTGAATGAACAGTATCAATGATCATTGTGATAATAATTATTCTGATTATCAGTAGATTAATATTTGTCAATACACACACACACATACCATTACATACCTTCTCTATTAATATAATTAATGAGTGATTTATTCTTCTTGTTAGTCCATTGTTTATTATTAACAGGAGATGATGGAGACAGCAACGAATCAATAGAACTATTATCAGATACATCATCATGTACTTTAATCATGTGACGTCCGGC